GTTAGAATTCATTTTTAAGAACTTCTGTTGTATGAGTTGACTTACTATTGGTTGAATATAATTTAACTTGATTCTTGGATGTACTATAGTTAGTTGTATTTTATACTGTTTCTGTGTAATATTAAATCCATCCCTCCATCGTCTCATAATTGAATATTGTTTAAATATGAACTAAAATGGAATTAATGCCTTTTAATGTTTATAAGTGGCAACTTATACTTACTTAGAGGTCTGTCAGTTCTTATAGTAGCTATTTTTTACTTAAGACTTCTTTTCAATGTTACATGGTCTTTTGGCTTTAACAGAATATTTGCATTCAGTACTTTGACATAATTCTAATTTAAGCACAAGTTAAATTTTAAATTCTCTGAAACACGAGACCGTATACAAAACTAACCCTAACTGGGAACACTAGTGATCACCTAGAGTATTTTACTATAACTATTGTTACTTGGGTTACAAAGACCCAGTTTCTTGGAATCCCGTATCATCTATTGCCTCAGAGTAAAAAGGGGGGAAGGTATGTGTAAGTATTATTTAATCGCCATTATTGTATCCATTTAGTCTTTCTCTTGTTGAAGGATTTTTCCTGTGCTAGCCAGAGTTTCCTTTTGAAAATACAATGTTAGCTGTATGCTAGTATTTGTATGTGTATGCTAGGAGGTAGCCACAAAGTTTACAGCATTCTAATTCATAGCAAATAGTATTTACAGTTGCTGTTGCTAAAGGATTGTTAGAGCAGTTGGGAAATAGTTATAACATATTTATGGAGAAAATACCAAGAAACTTTGGAATTCCTAATTCTTATGAGTTGAAATGTATAGTTCTGAGGCTGCAATTCATTTAAAAATCTGAATTAGAAGATTTATAGTAAGAATATATAAGGGGCTCCAATAAGTAATAAAATATAGAGATCTATGTTCAGCTATAAAGCACACATATCAGTTACCTGAGATGTAAGACTATCAGGAAAAAAAAAATAGTTTTTGAATTAGCGGTAAATTGGTTCATCCAAGTTCGCAGTTTACTTTCACAACATAGGTGTGCAGACAGTTTGTTTAGATGTTTAATTTTTTCCCCCATCTGTTCTGTCAGGATTATTGATTGAGCAGAAAGCCACTCCAGGGTATATGTAGCCTCCTTATAATTGCTTGCCTTGGGTGCATGGTGTAGCCCGGAGAGCAAACTGAGAGAGGTGTTCCTGTAACCTCCCAGTAAATACTAATTGGTGAAAGAATAGTGGAATGAATATGTTTTTTGAAAATCCCATTGACTAAATATTTACATTAAAAAACTTTAATTGATAGTATCATTTTAAAATACAGAATTTATTCATTATTATTCTTTGAAATTAGTAACCATTCATAGTGGTCTTTTGTAACTCATCTGGTTCTTTTATAAATAGAAGTGCAACATTACCAAATACGAATTCAATATTATTCCAACATTTGATATTAATTGGTGTCTGCTGTGATCTCTGTGAGTCTTAGGTTTTATTATACCAGAAATTAAAGTGATTTCTGGCTCCTGGTAGAAAAATTGAAACTAAGCCTTGTTTCCTAGAGTTTGTGCTCTGTTTGGGTTTTGATTTAATATGACCTCTCATCATTTTTTAACATTTACATTTCTTTTAATGTTCCAAATCCCCTTGTCCTTGATCTCTATTTGGGCATTTGTGTTACATATAGGTATAAAGTACAGTCACATCTGTGGTTACCAAGAACTATCAGGATAGAAGGAAATACCAATATCTGTATTCATATTTAAACTTTGGGTTTTATTTAAAGTCAGCAACATTGACTTTATGGAAAAAGAGACACTTGAGTGAATTATTCAAGATAAAATCTTTTACTGACTTATTTCAGGAGCGTGTTTTGATTTGTATTTATATCCAAATTATATGAGAAATTACATTTTAATGAAGTTGAAATTTGTCTTACCATTATTGTACCTGCACTTTACATCATCACTTATCATACCCTTGGATGAGCCCTCACAATAACCCTGAAATAAAAGTAGCCCTTTTGCCTGAAAAAAATATCAGAAGTAGCCAGAAATTATTGCAACCCTCGGGATAAAGAATATGAATTGTGTTTGTAACTGTACTTTTAGAAAAAACAGTGTTTTGAGAAAGTGAGAATAAGTATCCTCCACAAGTAGTCTGAAAGAGGCTGTTAACTTGGATTAGTTAATTTGACTTTAGGATTTCCAGAGTATTTCAGAGTATTGTGTATTAAAATAATTTAGATTTAAGGAGAGAGAAAGGATACTGTTTGAATAGCAGGAACATTTTTTATATTATGTATCCACATGTAGAATGTTGTAATTATTTTTATTGTTATTATTTCTTGTATATTCTTCTTAAAGCTTGGAGGTAGGAGTTGTACAAAAACTATTTTTAATTGATAGTGAAGTCTCTTAGGTAAGAACGCTGGCTTAGTTGTTAGGGTGTTTTCTTGTCAGCATTGCTTACGTTTACATATTGATAGGACAATACATTACATCAATTTTGTTCAGTACAAAGTGACACGGAAAACATTTCTAATTTTAGCATTATGTATCTGTATATCAATTAAAGCCTGTATGTTCAGAAGCAAAATCACTTATTTTGAGAGTCAGTGTTCATTTTACAAAACTAAATACAATATACTTTATTTTATCAAATAGATTTTTTATAATGCAGCTTTATTTTTCTGTTGCTTATTTCTCTTCAAAAATAAAAACCCTCTTTTTATGTACTCACTTTCCCTTCTGGCTGCAAACCAGGTATTTAAACAAAAATAAAGGATTGCCAGTTTTGCCAGCTGGGGATGAGAACCCGGCTGGTGAAATGTGGGTTCGGGAGGCAGTTAATCCAGCTTTTATGTTTTTTATGGTTTTATGAAAAAAGAGGTTAAAAACCACATTTGGCTCCTTTTTGTGTATGCCACTGTTTTGTTGGTGTTGTAGGAATGCAGTTAAAGGTTACTTAGATTTAAAATCTTTTTGTTGTTAGGTAGATTCCTCTATCAATTAGATAAAGGTCCACAAACAGTGTATTCTATTAATTGGCCACAGGACAGATCCTTGAATCATCAAAAGTCACTGGCATTTAAAAATTATATATACAGCATTTCCTTTCACTTAAGTACATAGTAGAATTCTTTCTGCTTCTCTAGGTTATTTCTTATTTTCAGTTTGTTCTTACATTACTCATTGTAAACAAATAGAAATTTGACTTTTTTTGCCTAATTATGAAAACTAGAATTTGTTGTTCCTCCAGAAAATATTTTCCTTGTTTGTAGTTTATGAAAAAGATTTTTCAAAAAACATAAGAACCAGACTAGTGTTCACATCTTACCAATGAAGTGTTCAGTCTTCTTTAGCCATGAAAGGAACATTGATACAATTGAATTAAAAATGTTTTTCATAGTATTTCAAAACACTTTTGGAATAGATATGTAAGTAGAATAATTTTTTCTTAAAAATTATATCCTTTATTTTCAAATACCTAGTCTTCCATAGTGCCTTTTAAAGTTATAGGTCATCATAATATAATTGTCAAAAATATCATCTGCAATTCTGTGAAATTATTGGTCAATTTTAAATAAAAGTCATAAGTAGTCTTCAATAAAATATTTAACTCAAACCAGGAAAGCTTGGAACACAAGTATTGCTTTGTTCTTGTCAAATTTTCTTTTATGTAATCAGTTACAGATTTTTTTAATTGATAAAATTTTCCTGATCTGGTTTTTCCAAAGCTGAGAAGATAAAGCAAGCTTTAAGATTATTTAATTTAGTTTTAAAATAAAATATTGAAAGTTGCATTTAGAGTAGAAATATTCCATGGGGTAAGGAACAAATCTTATTAAAAAGATAAAACCAAATTTTTCCGGGGACAAGTAGTAAGTTACCATGTTCTCATTTGAGCAGGTTGATCTAACACAGACAAAGCAGTACTTTCATACTTTTTCTTACTAAATTGATTTTGCATGTAGTGTATTTTGGGGAAACAAATTTAAGGACACTTACCACATAGATATTAAGTCCATGATTTTTGCTGTTTAACAAATTTTTGTTGTGAGATACTAAAGTTTTGGATACTAAAGTTTATTGCAACCTAAACAATGAACCTTTATATTCACTTTATTGAGTAAATATTTACAGAAGAATTTTAAACATATAGGGCCCCCCAAAAGTTTTCAAACTTATTTTAGTGGTTGTCATGCCCAATATTCTTCTCTATTGCATTGCATTTTGTACTCGTCTTTCACTGTTCAACTTGTATTACTTAGTTCTTAAAGCAAGAATGTGTAAGACACATTATATACTGCTCTATAATGAGCCTGGCCTAGCTTTGTTACTTAGAGTCTGCATGAGTGAAACTAGAATGAAAAAGTAGGCCTAAGAGAAAATATGCAAATATGCTATCTAATGTTTTTTACTTGATCCTTATGTATATTCATTTACTTGGGATTTTTTTGTACAACCTATCTTCTTTTTTTGTATACTGACCATTTCTGGATACATATTGAATATTCCACATATTTGGTGCGATTTATATTTTTTAAGTATGCTTTATGGTTTAAATGTCAAGGTGTCAGAATAGAGACTAGGCTTTAAAAGTTAAGATTCAGGCCAGGCTCAGTGGCTCATGCCTATAATCCCAGCACTTTGGAAGGCAGAGGCAAGAGGATTGGCTAAGCTTAGGGGTTGGAGACCAGCCTGGGCAACTTGGTGAGACCTAGTTTCTACAGTCAATCAAAAAATTAGCTGGGCATGGTAGTGCACCTCTGTAGTTCCAGCTCCTTGGAAGACTGAGGGAAGGATTGCCTGAGCCCAGTAGGTTGAGGCTGGTGATGGTCCTGAGTGTGCTACTTCCAGCCTAGGTGACAGAGTGAGACTCTGACTCAGGAAAAAAAAAGTTAAGATTCATTTTTATGTAAAAATCTTTTGTTTTATGAAAAATGCTTTAAAAGTGAATGTGTAATAATTAACCTTTCTACTGGTTTCACTTTTAGGTGTTAGAAGATAATGACTATGGCCGAGCAGTAGACTGGTGGGGCCTAGGGGTTGTCATGTATGAAATGATGTGTGGGAGGTTACCTTTCTACAACCAGGATCATGAGAAACTTTTTGAACTAATACTAATGGAAGACATTAAATTTCCTCGAACACTCTCTTCAGATGCAAAATCGTTGCTTTCAGGGCTCTTGATAAAGGATCCAAATAAACGGTAAGCCTCAAATAACGCTTAGTGAGTTACTGATGAATGTGGTTAAAATTGTGATATGGAAATTAATTCAAATATAGCTAACTCCAAGAAGCAGTGTATTTGGTGTAGACATCTTCCCACTGAGATACTGACTTATTTTTAACTGCAAAATATAGAGCATTTAACAAATTTTCTCAACTCTTTCCTAACTTGGAAATTTTATGCAGATTTACCAAATAAGGATTTTGAGAGTTTCACTATCTATATTATGAGTGAACAATGTCTTAATTACCCTGCTGCTTGATATTATGGGGTTGGGAGGATCCCTTCTTATAACAAGAATAAATCTATTTCTTGATGCTATCCTCCTACCCTCAATCTGTGTTAACATATCTAACTTTTTGTGTGTGTGTCTTTTGAAAATATTTATTTCCATGTGTAGCTGAAAGGGTTGATGGCAGAAAAACTTCACATTCTTTATATTTTTGTTTTTGTAGGTATAAGCTGTGCCCTGAAGAATCCTGTAGCCCTTGAGCTTTGCTCAGTGAGCTACAGTATTTTTTTGTTCATGTTTATATATTCACACAACATTTTATAAATCATAAATAAAATGACTATTCATTTTTAAATGTCTCTTAATATGTGTGCTTACATGTGTATATATCTCCCTTCTATCTAGGTATCTATACATATCAGTATTTCTCTGAAAGTCTGTTATATCTTAAGCTTCTAGATGATAGATGGTTTCATGTATTGTTGAATCTTTCATAGCACTTCACAGGTTTTGATACAATGTTTGTTTATGGCTGATGCTCAATATATATTTACTGACAGACTGGATTATTAGGTGAAGGAATAAATAAGCCCTAAAATTTGGGCTTTGTCCACCTTATAAGTGGTTTCCATTGCATGCGTCTAGTTTTTTTTTTTTTTTTTAATAAGGAACATAATTTTACCTTCAGTAGAAATAAACAAACATAATAAAAGAGATACCTTGTATTTTGGCTTAGTGAAGAATCATTCAGAAATGTATTTTGTAATCCCAGTCACAGATTTTATTTTGTATTTGTAAAGTGATTTTTGTTCATGGTACTTTTTTATATCTATTATCTTTTTTGGTTTTCTCAGTAGTAGCCTTGTAGGGTAGATGAGGTAGATAGTCTTCTCATTTCCATTTGATTGAGGTGAAAACAAAGACCCAGAGAGAGTTAGGTGATTTATTCAAGGTCTCACAAAAGATTCATGCAGAACAAGAGTAGAAATTGTTTCTTGATGCCTATTAGGTATTTCTCATGTATCTTATTTTTAGCACAACAATTCCTCAGTTTAGGTTTTTAAATGTGTTTCATTTAATAGAGTTATTTTACAATTACGTAATGAGAAGTTCCTGGAGATAGGTAATCTTTAAACAGAGCTATGTCTTCCATTTTATCTGTTTGCTGTTGGGATCTAACATTTGGCCTGGTTTTCAGGGTGGTGAGTTTTTGTCCAGTCCTTTTCTAACTCCTGCAGGTGACTTTGACCACTCTTTCTTTTGTGGCCCTCTCTATAAGTGGTTGGTAGAACACAATTGTACTTGTGGTTTTCATGTCTACATCTCACTCATGTTTTTGTCAGCTCACCCCAACCCATGTATGGCATGTAGCAGATACTTAGAAACTATTGAATAAATGTGAGGCACACTTTTAGAATATTAGTGATTTAGTATGTATAACAACTCTTAAGGTTTATTTACCCAGAGATTGATACTGATCTAAAGATAAAATGCAGTATTTTCAGCTATCTGATACTTTCTTGTATAATAGATGCGTCAAACTCCTCAACTGCCACATTAAAATATTGAGGATGCAAGGAAGAATGTGATGAAAAAGTATCTGTTCTGGATATTCATAGAATAATGTGGGGCACAAAACATATACTCACAGATGCTCAGGTCAAACTATGTACAGAGTTCTGTTTAAATTGTTAGTACTGTCTAAGGGATTGAAGAACTTGAGCTGGCTCAGAAAGGAGTTAGAGTTTGCAGTGGCACTCAGGCAGAGAAATTTACATGTAAAGTATGGCTAGAATTGCAAATGAACATGGCATTTGAGAAGTTCAGTGACTAGAGTGTAGAATATGAGTTGGGTAACATTGGGAGATGAAGCTGATATGTTAGATTGTAAGAATCTTATGTTTCTTAGCAAATATTTAATCTGTATTCAGAAGGGGGTGAGAAGCCACTAAAGTATTTAAAGCAAGGGATGGTATACTTAGATTTGTGTTATGGAAAGGTAATTTTGGCAGCTTTGTCGTGAATGGATTAGAAGAGTGAAGAGCTGAGGGCAGGCAGGCAGAGCCGTTAAGAATGTTTATGGAATTGTCCAGACAATAGATGGAGTCCTTCCTGAAGTAGCAGTAAACAAGCAATAAATAGAACCTTGTGAATGATTAAATAGAAGTGGTGAGAAAGTAGGAAGAGTTAGGGATGCCTCTGAGGTTTCCAGCTAGGGTGATTAGTTTAGAGAATGGGGTGTTATTAACAAGCAGGAAATACAAGTGAAGGAGGAAGCTTAATGGGGTGGATGCTGATACTCACTTTGGATATACTGAGTCTGAGGTTTCTGTAGAAAATCAATTTAGAAATGACAAGTAGGCAACTGGAAATCATAGTAACAGTGCTTAAAAGAAACACAATAACTGAATATATGGATTGGGCTCCATAGACTTCCTGGAGGTAGCTAGAACCAAGACAGTAGTGCAGAGAGTAGAGTATAAAGGGAAAAGGGCCTAGGATAGAATCCTGGGAAGCATCACAGTTTAAAGCTAGAAAGAAAAGAATGTTAACAAAGAGCCCTGGAAAGTCTTTGGAAACATAATCAAAGATAGCATTATAATATACCTCTTTATTTTTTCTATTCAGCTTTTTAAAATACTGTCTGCATTTTTCTGGCATTCATTATTGAATTGCTGTCAGTTCTGTCAAAAGGTCAGCTGCCAATTTGCTTTTATTTTGTATTTTCCATTATTTTATGATCTATCTATTAGTCCCTCCTTTATCCTCCTATGCAGAGTTGACAGGAAAAGCATGACCTCATGTTGCATTCAATAACATTAGGAATATGAATTCTGTGATGTTCCTAATAGTAAAGAATAGTAGCTGAGGGTTTAGTTTGGCATTCTGACGTTGGAGTTTAGTATTTTAGACATAAATGTCTCCGTTCAAAGCATATTTTGTTATTGTTTTGAAGTCTTAAATTGTATATTAGACAGTCACTGACATTGAAATTTTTGACAACTTCACACTTTGAGGAAGCTTGTGTTAAAGAATTTCTCCCAGCTTCTAAAATGGCAGTCTAAGATTGTATTCTTGGACTTTGCATAGTATTCATGGCTGATATTTTAGTTTTATATGTATTTGATAAATATAGAATAAATTCTGGCTATGTCCAAAGCCAAACTATTGCTAGAGAACTTGAAGGGTTACACCAAAATGAATAACTGAAATTGGATTAAAACATTTTATTTACAAAATGATTATGATTCTCCACTCCAAGTCCCACCTCATATACCATCTTAAGTATAATTTGAATGAAAACAGCATCGAAATAAATTATAACATAAGTGTGATAAAATATCATAGAGTTCTTTTTCTCATGCAGACTACTTTGATGCACACTTTGAAATACTTTGATACATACTTTTTAGAAACATGTGTTTTGATGCTTTTGCTTTTTTGGTTCCCTAAGAACGAGCTTTGAATATGTTTCTAAGCTCCAGAACTGAACGTGCCCTTAAAGAAAGAAGCTTGCAGTCTGCTGGGGGAGAGATGCACACGGCTTGAAATAGAGTGAAAAAGAGTGAGGGCAGGGACTATAGTGCTGAACATTTACTGAAGACAGAGCTGCCAGTCTGAGGATTCCTAATGGGAACTTAGAACATCCCTGTTATGGTCTAATCCAGTGTAAAAGTCTCATCTCTGGAGTGTGGCTCATTTAGGGAATTCTCTGTGGGGCGGGATGCGGTGCCTCATGCATGTAATCCCATCATGTTGGAGGCCAAGGCAGGAGGATCAGTTGAGCCCAGGAGTTCAAGACCAGCCTGGGCAACAGAGCAAGATCAGGTCACTACAATTTAAAAAATGAAAAAGCATCCAATATGGATCTGGGAGTAGGAGACCCGGCTTGTGTGAGCCATGTATCATCTCTAAAGATATTCGGGTATCAGTTAATTGTTTTATTTTCCATTCTGAAAGTATGTCGAAGGATCCTAAGTTCCCAGTCCTGTCTTTCTTTACCTAATAACCAGAATTCATTAAGAATTGTATAATTACAGATGGTCCTTAGTCTATGATGGTTTGACTTAAAATTGATTTTATGATGTGCAAACACAATATGTATTCAATATGCTTCTCATTTTAACAATAACATGTCTGGAAAAATACACCTTAAGTTGAAATATGGACTTATCCGGACATAACCATTGTTAAGTCTAGGACCATTTGTATTTATTTTCTGTGACCTACTTGGTTTTCTTCTTATCCAATAGTGTGTTGGAGTTGGCACATATCAGTTCACAAGAACCACTAATTAAATTTTCAGCAATTTTGTGAGCTGGTTGTTTAATGCAGCTAGATAAGAATACCTTAAAAGTGGGGAGGGCGTATTTTTAGTTTTTAAATTTACATAGTAAATTACAATGTGATTATATTTTATAGATAACAGTATTGTTTATGAGGAATCCATTTGAGATATGAAAATAGTCCATGAGTTTTCATCTACAGCTGTGCTCCACAAATTATTTTTCCTGCCATTTATTTATTTCATAATTTATATTAACAAGTATACATTTTGACTTAAATCATTCTAAAAGGAATTTAGTTTATAGATTATTTATAATCCTTGTAATAATCCATCAGGCAAGTATTATTATCCCCATTCTACAGATTAGAAAACTGAGGTTAAGCCATTTTTTTTATTGTTACACATCTCATAAGTGTCAGATATGATTGACTCAGTTACCCCAGAGCCTCTGCTCTTTTCCAGATACTATGCTGTTCTAAAGCTGGTTCTTATTATTAGCATATTAGGAAAATTAGATCTTATTGCAAATTTGTTTTTATTTTTATGGCTATTTGCTCATCACACAGAAAATTATACTTTCACAAAAACTTTTGCTATGTTGTGGCTTATGTAAATGTTTTATACTCATTTAATTTTATTTCTGTCCTCATAGCCTTGGTGGAGGGCCAGATGATGCAAAAGAAATTATGAGACACAGTTTCTTTTCTGGAGTAAACTGGCAAGATGTATATGATAAAAAGGTAGGCTCTCTTTATGGCATGGTTTGTATATATTTTGGCTACTCTAAAATGAATTAACAGCAAAAAATTTTAAAGTTAATAAAATTTAATGATGTAGTGATATTTATATTTTACCCTGATATTTAAGTGATTATTGAACTTATGAGCACAAAATTTTATTTATAATTTTGACTCCCCAAATACCTCTTGAAATTTTATTCAGCATGGTCACAGAATTTCTTTTTCTTTTTTTTCTATAATAATTTGTTAGTTTGTCTCTTACTATTTCTTCAATTTAGAAAAGATGCCCAATTATGTCTCTGTTTAGAAAACTAGTGAAAAAAATTGTAATTCTTTAATTTGCCCATGTCTTTAATTTTAAAGTGAATACTTCAGATTCATTTTATACAAATCCTTGTTTTAAAATTAATCTAAAGAAATTTAGTTTTAATATTTAACAAAGTAATAAGATTATTGCCTTATTTTGGACTTCTGTTATTTGAAACAACTTTATTGCCCGCAAAATGGATGCTAGCTTCATTGTAATGTGCTTATTACTCATTTTTAATGCAATTAAAACACATGTTAATCAATTTTTGCTTAAGTTTAGGACTAGGAAATTATTTTGTGTGTTTCATTTTATTTTTTACTACTTGGATATAGTTAGTACAGACATTGATTTTACTTTTCAAATATTTGTATAAAATTTTTACTATGAAATTCTTATGTAATTCAGTAATTTACTTAGAATTTTTGTCTAATTACTTTGTCAGTCCATTTCTATTTATTTCAGTTTTTTATATTTTTCTCTGAAACATTTCTCAAACAACAACATTTATGTGGGGTCTGTTTTGTGCCAACCATTCTTCTCCATCAATCCCCAAGGTCAAGATAGAATTATATGAGTCATGAGGAGGTGACACAGGAACTGCATTTCTGTAATATGTTACTGGTCATAGGGAAGGTGATGCTTTTCTACTCATTTCTTGTAACTAGATGTTTAAATAGATGTATCATTTAACTACATATAACATACTACAATAAACTACTCAAAGATTTGGTTCAATTTTACTCATACATCTTGAGCTTTTACCATTGTATAAAGCACTGTGTTAAGTATTGGGTTCTTCACAACACTTGTGAGAAACATGTGATCATTCTTAAATGTCCTGAATGTGTATTAACTTCTTATAGACAATGTTACATACACTGTGTGTCAGTGAGGATTATCTTTATGAGTTGCATGCATATATAGGAATGCCTCTAATGAGCTCTGTACTATTTTTATCATGCCAATACACTACAAAAGAACCTGAAAAAGATCAAGGTCTTGCTGTGTCTCCCAGAAATAATTCAGTCAGAGGAGGTTTCCACTGACAGAACTTTAAGCTACAGCTAAATATCATTCCTTCAATACAATTAAAAAAAAAAAAAAAGCATTTCTTTCAGAGGCAATGGTTGGGACACCAATGTGGCCCTGTCAGCTTTAAGAAGAACCAAAATATGGACTTCCTTCAGTCCTGTGAGGAGATGAAGATAAACTACAAAGGTTTCCTTACCTCGTTGGTCAGCTATTCTTGCTCAATGTTAGTTTGTATTCACCCGGAGAAATCTCTGAGAGTCCAACAGCACACCTGCAAAGAAGCAAGGCTTACCCTATCTCTGCCTCTCTGGATTAGACATGCCCAAAGGAAAGGTCATGTTAGGGCACTCAGGCAGCCACCATGTGGGAATGGGAGTAGGAGCCAGTAAGTAGGGTAGGGAGAAGAGTTGCCACAACACAACTTTAGATGATGTATGTAGAGAAATTAGTTTAAGTTGTTTTAGTTTATTTTTTAAAATGGATGCCACTTAATTTGAGCAAAGGTGCTAACATTTTGCATAAAAAAGCATAACCACAAAAATGACAGTTTCCGTAAACCATAGATGGGTCATGGACTGATGCCCTCTGCAGGCTTACTCATGGTGATCTCGCCCACCCATACATCCTTGAAGGAGCAACATCGTTATAACAGCACTTTAAAATTTGAGCCTCTTTCTAAAAGTCTGTGAAAATGTGATTGGGCCTATTTAGGTTTGTATCATATCGCAGACAAACAATAAATTAATTATGAGAATCAGCCTATTGTCAGGAGCTATCTTCATAAATTCAGTTCAAATTCCAGTACTTTGGACAGTATAAATTATTACATAATTTACGGAATCAAACATTTTAATGGAGTTCTTATATCTTTAAAATGTGTGAGTTATTCACATGTGGTCAATTCATCACTAAGATCAGACATTTTATTACATTTTTATAAGTTTTTAGGGATTTATTTTTGTTAACTTATTATCACATAATCATTGGCCATTGTTCTATATGTGGCAGCAGTTCTGGAGATGAGGGCACATCTGGAGATGCTGGTATCTTAAAGTGAGATTAACATACCTCCCTAGGCAAAGTGAAAAGTGAATTAATCCTAATTGCAAGTAGCATGATGTGCCACCCTAAAGAGCACAGTACCAAAAGATGTTAGGAATAGGCCCTGGTCCTGGATTTGCTTCTGGCTTCCTTTGTGGAAATTGACATGTCATTTTACTCACACGTAAGATTATGATCCTTTAAGTACCTTCAAGAGTTAACATTCTCTAAAAGGATGTTTTATAGCATTTTTTTTAAGATAAATTTGTATGTCAGATTTATACTCAGTTTGTCAATCCTCTAGGATTTTGTGTGAGATTGTGTTTAACCTATAGATAAATTTGGGGAGAGTTGGCAACCTTAACCATGAGTCTTCAGCTTCATGAACACAGTATATTCCTCTATTTATTTAGGTGGTCTTTAATTTCTCTTAGTAATGTTTTGGAATTTTCAATGTTAAGGTCCTACACATATTTTGTTAGACTTTTCCTTAAATATTTCATATCTTTTGATGTAAGTGGCATTTCAGAATTTCATTTTCAGTTTTATTTTGCTGCCAATATATAGAAATACAATTGATTTTTGTATATTGACCTTACATTCTGCAAGCTTGCAGGAATTAGTTGTAGTAGCCTTTTTTGTAGATGACTTACAGTTCTCTGCATAGACAACTCTATCTTTTGTGAATAAAGCTTTACTTCATTTCTAATCTGTATGCATTTGATTTCTTTCTTCTTTTGCCTTGTTGTATTGGCTAGAACCGTCATTATAATGTTGAATAGAAGTGGTGAGAGTGGACATCCTGACTTTGTTCCTGATCTTAGGGGAAAAAAGCATCTTTTACCACTAAATAAGATGTTAATGAGCACATCTAGCAGCCAGATCTGGGTTTCTATATATTATTCTCCAGTGAAAGGAACCAAGCCTCCTTGAAGACTTCTTTGATTTCAGGGCTAGTATGGGGAAATAAAAGATGCTCCTGGAGTATTTTGTGGTGTCAGAAAGTAAGAAATAACTATTTTTAAGGAAGTTCCCTGAACAGATTCCTGTGACAAAAATGGGAACAATTTTAATAACAAAATATAGTATCAGATTATGACCCAAAGAATACAACACATAACCATGAGTCCGTGCTACATAAATAAATGATTGAATAAATACCAAAACTAAGAAATCAGCATCAGTGTAATACTGTTAACTAAGCTACCAACTTTATTTAGATTCCACTTTTATTTTTATAATGAGAAGGGGCATGACTTCCTTACTCATGGATTCCAGTTAATAAATACAGAAAGAATGAAGGAAATAGAAAATTATCAATAAAACACCACAGCAAAAAATTGCTCATGCAAGATCCACCTATGAATGCTAAAATTAGTGGGCAAAAGAAAGGGGAAAGTTGCATAGTCTCAAGTTATTTCATTCCATACATTTATTATTTGCAAATGTGAAAAGAATAACTTTGCAGTGGAGAAGCCTGGCAGGCACTGTTTTAACCAAATGATCAAGTTCAATATCACCAGGAGTAAGCCTTTGATATTATGTAACCCATGATATGATGTTCTGAGAAAGGCATATCACATTTTTTTTTTTGAGTTCGAGTCTCATTCCGTCACCCAGACTGGAGTGCCGTGGCACACTCCCGGCCACTGCAGCCTTGACCTGCTGGGTTCCAGCGATCCTTCTGCATCAGCCTTCCAAATAGCTTGAACTACAGGCATACGCTACCATGCCTGGCTAATTTTTGATTTATTGTAGAGATGAGATCTCGCCAAGTTGCCCAGGTGGGTCTCGAACCCGCGGGCTCAGGCAATCCACTCGCCTTGGCCTCCCAAAGAGCTGGGATTACAGGCTGAGCCACCGAGCCTGGCAGCATATCACTTTTGAAGTGTTCTTCTCCAAAATGCATAACCTCAATATAATCATGAGAAAACTTTAAGAACCCACATGGAGGGACATTCCTCACAATACCTAATCAGGTAACTTCAAAAGTATCAACCTTATGATAAACAAAGAACTATGGTCAAATTTTCACAGATTGGAGGAAATTAAGGTGACATGTTGACTGACTACAGTGTGGGATCCTGGGTTGGGTCCTGGACTAGAAAAGAGGCATTATAAAAATAAAAGTGGAATCTAAATAAAGTTGGTAGCTTAGTTAACAGTATTACACTGATGCTGATTTCTTAGTTTTGGTATTTGTACTATACCTGCATAAGATGTTAACATTAGAGGAAGGTGGTAAAGGGTGTAGGTGTATAGCAACTGTGTGTACTGTTTTTGTCAATCTTCTGTAATCTTTACATTGTTTTACTATAATACAGTATAAAAACAATGTTAATGCAGGGTTGTTTTTTTTTTAAATCCCTCTTATGAGGTTGAGGAAGTTTTCTCTGTAGTTTACTGAGAGTTTTTTTTTTTTTAATACCTCTTATCAGGTTGAGGAAGTTTTCTCTGTAGTTTACTGAGACTTTTAAAAAAAAATCATGAATGGGTGTTGAATCTTATTAAAGCTTTTCCTGTATTTATTGCAATAATCATATGGCTTTTTTCTTTTATGTTCTATTAAATGGGTGAATTAACATTGATTTTCCAACATGCAATGAACCTTGCATTCTTGGGGAAAACCCCATCTGTTCGTGATGTGTTATTATATGTTGCTAGATTTGGTACAATGTATTTTTAAAAA